TGCTTACACTTTTTTTTTGTCACCATTTGGATTCTTTAACGCTCTGTTGATGCAAATGTAAGTTTTATAGGTCAGAAGTTTGCTACATATTAATTGGGCAATATTCAGGCAGCCTGTTTAGATATGATCCAAGTGTATCAAGTATCACTAATTTACTCTCTTAGAGAATGTATGGAGATATAATTGAAAGCTTAGGGGATGCTTTTTCACACTTTGTGGCTAATTTGTTAAAGGAATAGAGTGCAAAGCAGAATGTTARTCACCTGCACGCTGATACTCACACTTCACCACACTCTCTTCTGCCGTTTTTGTTTCAGTCGTGGTGGTGTTCGCCTTCATCCTCTGCTGGCTGCCTTTCCACGTGGGACGCTACTTATTCTCCAAATCCTTCGAGGCYGGCTCGCTGGAGATCGCAGTGATCAGCCAGTACTGCAACCTGGTGTCGTTTGTGCTGTTCTACCTTAGTGCTGCCATCAACCCCATCCTCTACAACATCATGTCCAGGAAATACCGCSTGGCCGCCTGCCGCCTGTTCGGGCTGCGAGCGCTGCCCAGGAAGGGTCTGGCTGGGAGCAAGAGCAGCTCCAGGGGCTGGACAGAGCCCAGTGTGCTCACATGATGGCCAGTGGTACCCGAGCATCGCTTGCCCAGCTCCCTGAAAGCCATAATGGAACGGGAAAAGGGCAAAGAACGGGAACCAAACGCGTCAATCGAACCCAAACGCGACAATCGATGCCCTCATCACCGCCCGGCTGGGCTGGGAAGAACGGTGCGGGCGGAGGAAGATTTGGGGGAAACACACAGAAATTTGGGATGGTGGCAGACACGGCTCCAGGTGTTGTTTTTGTGCTGCTTTTCCCCCCCGTATGATTTTTTGATCAGCCCAGATTTAGGCTGTGCCGTCCTGACCAGGCAAACGTGGCCCCACTTCACTCGAGGGTTTGTAGGACTTGAGCAGCGGCCAATTCCAGCTGARTTTTTTCCAGAGTTAGCTTTAGTTTTGCTAAGAATTTTGCTAGCATCTAACCAGACCCTAGAGAGAGAAAACTGAATTGCCTTTTTGGAGTAGTAAACAGGAAATTTGATACACTTTTCATAAATACCAATTTTTAAGTAAGCTAAGGTTTTTCTCTGAATGAGGAAAATGGTTTCTTAAAAAAAAAAGAAAAAAGAGATATAAAGTGGATCATTTTTAAACATGCTAAAAATAAATAACCTTCATGTCACATCCAAGTTAAAAGGAAACAAAATAAAAAAGCCTTCACGGAAGTGGCTTAGAATGTGACTGTACTGTAATATTTTTTTAAAATATATATCAGTGGGACAAGGACAGTGCTGACTTCAGGCCTGCAGTGATGCTATGAATTGTGGAATGCAATCACCCACCAAAGTTTTTTTTTGGTTTTTTTAACTAGTTAAATCATCTGTACTTGTTCTGCTCAGTTTGACTGTGATTGACTTGATGTGTTCTAATTTGGAAGCTTTTAATTGTTTCAATATTTGTAACGAGTCTGTGGCTCCCCATCCCTAACTGCACCCCACTGCACCCCAAAGCTTTCTGAGGATGGGGATCCTGCCTGTAAACCCCCCATGTTTCTGTTTTCAGTCTGTTCCCAGTGCCACTTCCCTGTAAATCCTGGTGTGCATTTTGTGCTCGTTKGCTGCAGTATTGAATTGAGAACATTTTGCATCTTTTAACCACCGTGACCTTAGAAAGTAAYAGAGAAACCTGCATTAAAGGACACAGGCAGGCACATTCTCATACTTGATTCGTAAAACCTTAAATTAGATTTTTATACCTCAAGTATGCCATTTCAAGGCAAACCAGAAAACCATTCTCTGTGCTAATAAACATGGCTTTTATTGTCTGAGCAGCACGTGGGGTTTGTGGCCCAGGAGAGCTTTGGAACATGAGTGTGTGACAGCAGATTTCTGCTCACTTGGTTCTCATGCTCATCCCCAGRTGCTCCACAGCTGGTTCTCCCTAATGGGTTTTAATTCTCCACAATGAATTAATTGTGTGTTAACAAAACCTCTCCTGCCTTCACACTGATGGGCCACTTTCCCCTGTCTCACCTTCAGCTGATGGTGCAGCTCCTGTTTAACTCACAAGAATTTGGCATTTTTATATTCAGTGTCTTCTCTATCACCTTTTCTGGGGTCAGGGCTGGCTGCTGCTCCTTGGTGGCACCTGGCCTGTCCCCTCCCCGCTCCAGGAGTGTAGGATTTCTGTGCAAACCCCACACTGAGGTACTGCAGCCCCACAGGGCATCTCCTGCTCCACCTCCACCCACTCCCACTCTCACTCACTGACAAGCAGATCTGGTGGCAGATGTCGTGCAACTCAGGGAAACAAGACATTTGGGAATCACAGAGAGATGGGCAAGGTGTGAGCTCACAAACAACCTGTCTGTGTAAACAAACCGACCACACACACATCGGTGTTTCAAATCTCAGCTGTGCCCGCGCTGTTAAATGTGAACAGAAAAAGAAATAAAGTGATGAGAACCTTTATAGCCCTGTGGCTTTGTGGTGGTGGAGGATCCAGTGGGATTCACTTAAWTGGGTTTTAATTTCTTCAAATTTCTCTGTTTTCATATTTATATTTTAATTTTTCCCCCGACTTGCATAACCACCTTGATTAGGCTATTTTGTTTAGCCAGAGTAACAGCAACATTAAAGCCCTGTGCAGACACATTATCAGTGTTTTTGCACAAATTCAATTTCATTTAGCCTAAACATTTCATCAGAAGGGACTTCAAATTTTAGCTCTACCAACACTGTGAAATTTCCACAACTTTGTGTATAGAATGAAATTTAAAACATTTGATCTGGGGTAATAAAGGTCAGAAAGAAAGGGACTGGCTGCTCCTTGGGAGGGAGGATGGGACCCTTCCTTCCTTCCTTCTGCAAGTCCTTGGACAAATCCAGCAAAATACACACATTTTTATTAAAGAAGAGTAACCACCTTCATATGACAGAAGCAGGAAAGTATTTCCTACCTAGCAGGGAACACTCAGACATTTAACACCCACTGTAGCTGTCACAGGCACTATCCCACCCATCAGTTTTGCTTCCCTCAGTACCAAAACTTTCCCAATATGGATTCTCTAAAGCCAGGAGGTCACACCAGCATGTGTGCTTCAAACTGGTACATAGTGAAGTGTTTTTTTAGGGAAAACAGGAAATAAAAACATCTCAAAACCCGGATAACCCTCACTTTTGCATCATAAAATCAACTTCTATCTGATGCCTCCAGAAAGATACACACTGGCACGGCAGAGTAGCTCCACAGGAGAAGTTTTTTAGGCAGTTGAACCTTTCCATTTCTGTAAACTCTTGCCTTTGGGAACAATCTTTGCCAGTTCTGACTGAAAAAAAAAATAGAACAAAACATGTAGAGACTTTCAGAGTCAAAATTTTGCTGTGTTCTTTCTGACATAAATGTGAGCAGCCCATAGAGAAAATAACTGAGAGTTCATTCATTAAACTGTTCCAGTTTTAAAAGCTTTTTCTACCTCTACATTTTGTGTCACAGCTTCACAAATAAAGCAGAACAATTTGGCTGCATTTTCTTYCTTGGCAGTGTTAAATTGTAGATGAAATAGGTCAAAAGGACTTCACCAGAAAGCTCAATTCATTTTAGAAAAGTACCTTTGATGGAGGCACACACAGGCAAAAAATCATGTCCTATTGTATTTCTTGCCAAAAATAAAATACACTGGAAAACCAGCACTTTCTTCCCAAAAATTGAATTGATCGATATTCAGCAGTCATGCAAGTTTGGATCAAATRACATTTGCATAAACCATATTTAAAGCAGCAGTTTTCAGATAGCTGAAATACCCAGGAGAACCCYCTCTCTGTCATGGATCTGCTGGTTTTAGGGTGCTCCTGCTCTGAGCCTGGTGGGTGTTTCTGGATGGGCTTCCATTGAATTTGTACCTTTTGCACAAACCCTTGAGGAGGTAAATCACATCTTGAGAAGTAAATTCAAATTTGGAACAAAAATATCTATCTCATCTCCCAGTGATGCCCCTGCTGTTACTGCCCCACACCCTGAACCACCCTCCTCACCCCGCAGCTGAAAGCACTGTAACTACATTTYACCCTYACAACAAAAACTACCAGYCCTATTTTACAAAAATGAGTTTCTSTGAGTCCTGCAGACACTGATCTKGTTCTGCTCAGYYRCAGGAGGWGGCTCTGCAGCCCAATTTTGGAGGGTGAACCCCWCTGGCCTGTGGTGTGCACCGATGTCAGCATCACCTGGATCCCGTCCCTGACACACTGCCAAACTCTCAAAGTGCTGGCCAGCACTGGGGCAAGGAGAAAACAGAGTAAACAGAGCACCACAAGGGTTGTGAGCATCCCAACAAATCATCTGAAGGGATGGGAGCAGCCCCCAGGAGGAGAGGACCCACTCCAAAATCAGCATCCAACCCACGCTGCTGCCAGGCTGCCATCTCTGCTCTCTTCTGAGCACAAATGCACCCTTGTGAGAGCTACAGGCTGCTCTTCCAGCTGTGCCTGCAGATAAACCACTTTGTGTTTTGCCCAATAAAGGCGTTTTATGGCTTTCCACACCTGCTTTGATTCTTTCACTGTGGAGCAAAATAATGGTTTGGTGCTGTGTGCGAGCCCATGAGGCGAAATTGCTCTCAGAAGTGAAGTACCCCACTGTCCCTTTCAGAAGCTGCTCTGAGGGSTCTGGAGATGCTCTCCCAGCACTTGCCCCCAGTTTTGATGCCATGGGATCAAAAGAAGAGCATTATTCYTTTGCTTTTTTCTCATGTTCGATTGATTTTCACATGATTGCAGCACTGTCKGTGAGAAAGAAAAGGCACGGCTATTTCCTCTGTCCACATTGTTCTCCTTCCACCACTCACCTGGTGCTGCAAACCGTGGCTCATTAAGGGGCAAGGCAGGGAGTCTGACAGCACCAGCCTGCTCTGCAATGAGCCACAGCACCATCWGAAATGGATTTAAACAGCTTCAACACTGACAAAAGGCAGCAAAAACTCCTACTGCACATTCTCACCGAGATGGAGCAGAGAATCACAGTCACACACAGGCACATACCCTGCCCTGTTGATGGAAGTTCGTATTTTTATCAAGCGGTGACAATGAGATTGGTTTTTCTAGAATTTGCTGTGCTGTGGGCACCAGTGAGGGGCTGTGGAAGGTGCTCCTGAGCTGTTTGTGGCTGAATGTGGAGTTTTGAACCCACTGAGTTATTGTGAGTTTGTGAGRAGGGAAGAGGGCAGCCAGCCCAGGGCTTTCTGTGTGCCTTGGTTGGCACCTTGGCTGCTGTGGGCTCATCCCTCAGATGCCTTGGGCACTGCCTGAGGATCCCTGGWGTAATGCTGGGATGGGGAATCGTGGAATGGTTTGGGTTGGAAGAACTTTAAAGCCCATCCAGTCCCAGCAGTGTGCATCCTGCCCGGAGCACAGCCAGGGAACACCAACACCACCAGCACTGCAAAACCTCTGAACCCAGGACACCACCACAGATCATGAGCTTTTTATGCAAAAGAAATTAATAAATTAATAAAGACAATATTTGCATTGGATAAGGGTGAATTTTTCACTCTATGCATAAGTTAATCCTCACAAGACTCCTGCACCCCTACTGTTTGCTCCATTTTATTTGTAGTGAGTAATAGCTTTCATTTGACAGAAAGCGAGAGAGATGAGCTAATAAAATTACAGAGAAATGACATCCACTGAGCACACTGACCCAAGCAGTTATTTATTAACCATGTCAGGAGACCTAAAAATAGCTTTGATTGCATGCAAGACCATCTATGCCACCAATTAGTGCAATAAATGTAACTACTCAAACTAAAAACATTTCACTTAGACAACAGCAGATCCCAGGCTAATCCACTGTGCTTGAAAGCATCTTGTGAAACTTTTTTATTTCACTGAGCCAAGAATCTGGGCATTGTGAGAGCAATTGTCAAGAGCAGAAATAGATGTAATTGTTCAGAATTTATTAAATGTAGTACCAATAAAATAGCCCTTTCAGGGAATCTCAGCTGGTTTTTCTGCTCAGCCATAAAAATAGTGAAACAGAATGTCCACATCCATCTCTCTACTTACTGGTGCTTCTYGTTCTGAGAAAAAAATAAAGAGATAGAACATTTGCATCCTTACTCCAGGCCACGTTAAGGGCAGAGAATATAATTCTACACCACTTCAATAAATGACAACACATCATGAACTCAGCAATAATTCTAGAAAAGGACTTGCAGAGGAAATATAATTTACACTTCATATTACCACACAAATTTCTTCTTGTCTCTAACACCTCTGGTTTCAAGTCARGCCTATCAGAGCCATCCTGCTGATGTAGATGTTGTTAATGCTGGAGGGGAATCACCCCATCTCCACAGGCCATAAATTCACAGGATGGAATGATGGAATGCTTTYGTTTGGAAGGGACTTTAATGATCATCTGCTTCCAGCCCCCTGCCATGGGCTGAGATTGCCCAAGAACTTCTTATTTCCAGGGGGATTTAAAATACCTTAGCTCTGCTTCAGGATGGGACAGAGATTCTAAGATCCATCCCCCTTCACCAACTCCTCGTTTTTATAGCAGAATGGATTTGAGCACCTCCTAAAACCCCAAAACACGGGAGAGCCAGCAGGAAAGAGATGAACACCACGGACTGATGCACTCCAGATGCTGTTTGCTCCTGCCTGGTCCTGGCAGAGCCTGGCTTTGTCCCCCTGGTTTTTCAGAGTGACCCCCCTGAGAAGGGAGGCTGAAGGGAGAACAGAACAAGCACCAGGAGCTGGGTGTGAGCAGCACTGATCGCTGAGCAGAGAGAATCGCTGCTGCCATAGGAACGGAGCRCRCACAGCTGGGCACAGCTGGCACCACACACCCTGCTGATGCCTTAGGATTTTTGGTTTCTCTATTTTCATGCATCTGTATTCTTGTAGTTCTCTAGTACAACACTAAAAACTACCGTTCTCCCATCTTTAGACAAAGCAATTCCTCTCTGAGCCTGAACCCAAGGACACATCGCTGCCTCAGAGCCCCAAAATATGGAAATGACAGAGAATTGGGGGGAGGAAGTTTGGGGTGGTTTTTCAGGTGACATCATCACCTGAAAAGATCATTGGAGAATTAAGACCCAATATGTTCATAAGTCAGAACTTATTAAAGGTGAAGATCTTGTGAAGCAGGGTCTATTYTGGGTGTAGCCTCAGGAGGCTTTGTCTGCCCTAATGTACCAGCAGGGCTGTTAGGCCTGGATTAAAGTTGTATGTTCTCATTCTCTTAAGTTTGTCTGGCATCTGTTTCAGATTAGCCTGATTGATAAGGCATCACTGTGACATGTGACAAGGCCACTGCCCACCCTGTGACAATGCCAKGGCCACTGCCCTCTCCTGCCCCACCCCAAATCCTGTTCCCAAGGCCACCAAAATATCCCCAATCCCAGCCTCTGCTCTCTTCCAGAACTTCTCAAAGCTGCTGTTAAACACAGCATCGCCCAAGCCCGGTTACAACTCTCACACAATAAAATCCGTGGTGAATTTGGTGTTATTTACCCACCTCTGCCCAGGCTGGGGTGCAAAAGGCACCCCCAGCACCTCGGCACAAACCTGGGGGTGGAAACAACACAGGTAACACTCAAAACTCACACAGTGAATGCTGAAATCCTCCTTTGCTCCCACTGCCCTCCATCTCTGCAGCAAAAAAACCAGTGACCACTGAAAATAAAAGATCTCCTCAGATGCCAAAGTGCTGTTTACGATTCCATACACATATCTGAAAAAGTTTATTAAAAGAGATTGTTTTGGCAAGCACTGYTTAAATAAAAAAGCTGAGCAACCAAGCAGAAAAAAGTACTGTATTTCCCTAGGAAAACCCTGCTCATGTTGTGAACTGAAGTAATTAAAAAACACAAACAAATGAATTGTTGTATTTATRCAGTGATTTGGAGACAAGCATTTCAAAAATCAATGTGAATGCATTTGACAAGAAGCATGTATATATGCTAGATAAATTCATCATGATGAGGAATTCTCTGCACATAATAAGTTAAAATCTCTGCTATGTCAAATGTTTAATTAGTAAGAGATAAAAAACCTAGGTATATTTTTATAAATAGAAATCCTTAATTTTTCATGTAAGCTATTTAAAAGAAGTGATTAGAATAGCTGTCTTCCAGATTATTACTACAAACTTACCCTTCACAAAAACACCAAAATCACTCCAATTACAAATCAGAAACATCCTGAGGTAAATTTGGGGCTCCCACCCCTGCTCCAGGCTGCACAACAGCACTGAGCTGCCAAAAAGGGGCCATGTGAACCCAAAGGGCTGCGTTCAATTAAAATAAAGAATTAAAACAGGAAGAATTAAAACATTTATTGGGCATAAATATATTACATATACACTACAGATACAGTTAAGTCTTACATACATAGTGTAGTATTTGCAAAATCTATACATTAAAATTGATATGGCAGTTTTAATATAATGCATATGAAATAGTCTAAAATTTACAATACAAGAAAAACTTCTGATTATTTTTTTTTTCAAAGTTGAAAAGCTTGGAATGTATGTTCCCGTAGTGAGGTAAAAACATTTTATTTTCTTTTTTTCAATTTAAAGAACTGTGCAAGGATAAGGTTCATACACATTCAATTAGGGCACTTCTCAATCGTGACACTGAATACTGAGCTACTGGAGCCAACAAACAGGATTAGAAAACACTTCAAGTCCATAAAGAAAAAGGCAGAACAATATAAAAACATCTCTCTCCTTCCTTAAGGGTATTAAATATTTAGTGTTCCATTCTACCTTTGTTGTTGGTGGTGATTTCTGTGAGAGCAGAGCGCTCTGGGGYTGGACCCAGCACTGCCAGGGCTGGATCAGGGGCACCAGGATTTTTGGGAAGGGCCAAGGCATCAGCAGAGGGGGGTCAGGGATACTGTCCCTCCTGACAGAAGGGTTTGACATTTGTGTGACACTCAGATCGCCAGGGCAGGATGTGCAGACTGAAAATGTCAAAATGTCCAACGCACCGAGCATGGCCCAGCTCCTCCAGCAAAACCTCCCAAAATCTCAATTTGGGCTGCTCAGGGGGGACCAAACAAACCACAAGAGACAGAAACGCTCTGGGTGTCACTGAGTGCTCCTCCCCTCCACTCCTGCTCCCTGCTTTTAGCATCACTCATATTTCAAACTTCCAAAATTGCTAATCTAAGCACGTTGGGTTTCTTTTTTTTTTTCCTTTCTTTATTAAAGCAGTTTTGGTTTTGTTTTGTTGTTTTTTTTTTTTTTTTAAAAAGGYGTCAAGCTCGGATTTCATAGCAGCACTGCTCAAAGAATATACCAAAAATAAAAAAAAGGGAATCTATTCAAATTTCTGGGTTTTCCAAACTAGCGGTCTTTTCATCGTTTTAAAAAATACACTCTTCTCCCCTCCAATGAAAACAGCTGTATACTCTTTGCTCACAAAATACAGATGCAAGGTCACAGAGTTTCATATCACAAATAAATTTAAATAAGATGTAAATAAATTTGACAAGCCATGACTTTGGCAAAAAACAAAAAAATATATATATTTAGCTCAATGCCATTAGTTCGCAAGGCTAAATCAAACTAATTATAGTCAATAACAAAATACAGAACATTTCTAATATTTGCTACATCTAGAGAGGCACACAGAATAATTCATTGATCTTAGCACTTTCTTTCCAGAGATGATTTTGTTTTTGGATACATGTAAACGTTTGAATCACTGATAATGGGTTTTTTTGGCATTTAATGTACTAGATGCTCCCATCTTCAAAAACACAAGAAAATGCAAGAAGATTAATAATACTAGGAATGCTGCCAGGTAAAAAGTTGACCTAAAGTACAACAGTATAAAACAGACAAAATGTAACATGCTATGGGGAGRGTGGAGAGGGGGATTAGATTAGTACATAAGTACACTTTTTATTTTTTATTTTTTTTTACAATAAATAAAAAGATTGCACTGTAATTGGTATTTAAAGTACTGTATGCAGTATATAGTATAAATAAACCTAAAAACAAAAATAATGTTGTTTTTTTCCCCATTACTTTGGTTAAGGGAATATAATGCTAGTACAGGACACGGAATCTTAAGACGGTGGAGACAAAGCACAAAAAAAAAAAAAAAAAAAAAAAAAAGCTAGGACAAAAGCAAAACCGAGTAGCAAAAATATACAAAAACAAGAGGCAGGGAAATACACTGTGTCTGTTGCACCCTTTTGGAATCTATTTGCACCTCCAGCTCAATTATGTCCCTGAGGTACTCGCACATTGTTGACTTAATATAAATAACCCCACGACTCAAGAGTTAAAAATCGAATGTCTCGATGGATTAAAATGGGTCTGGGAAGGGGCAGGCAGGAGGGGGACACTGCCACCAGAGCAGGGACCGCTCCTCTGCACGACTCTCATCTCAGTTTTGCCAGGTACCAAGTAATTTCCATCAGCCCCGTGGTAAGAACAGCATAGACACCTATTTGAAGTATTTAAAACCAACRGATGTGATTTCGGATACCTCCACGAAAATTCCATGAAATGGATACCCCTCCAACAAACAATAATAACAACAACAATAATAAAAGATCAACTGACAGTAAAGTTTGCTTCCATTGAGTGTAAATCTCACCTAATTCAGTAGAGGCAGTAAGCTGTCACCAGCTCAAATCATATAAATCAGGCTGAACATAATAGAATAATATCTAGAATTAGATTAGGAATAGTTATATACAGTGACAAACAGACAAGTTAAAGCAGCTTTTAAATAGCTGAACATGGGAATAACTAACTATTGCACAATGCCCTCTTACTTAAAATTACTGCTAGGAATCAAAATGGTAAAAAAAGAAATCTATAATGCTTCATCATTTATACGCAGTTTGGTTATTTGATTTCTTTTACAGGCAGTTTATAGTGTTTGTAACTGTAAGAATAACAGGTAACTAAAAAAGGTTTTTCAACTGCAGGATGCTGTTCCAATTTAAATGTACTAACCAGTTAAAATAACAACTTAGGTTTTATCCTGAAAAATTGGGGCAAATGTAGTGAACAATTTGTAGGCAAYATTGCTAATACTGTTCAAGGAAAAACTGGTACTTGACTAACACTGTATTCTAGTCTTACCACTATACACACWTGTGACTAATGTTTAGAAGGAAAAAGAGGAGACATTAAAAGTGACTCATGATTAAAATTTCCTAAATAGTAAGATAAAATAAGAGACTGCACGAACTTCAGTGAAAAATCCCATAACAACATTGAAAAGGCAAATCGGTGACAATTTTGAAATTGTGAAGGAAAAATTAAAAAAAAAATAAAAAAATCTCGCTTTTGGTATCTGGTTTGCTTTGTTTCTCCAGTTTGACCACTTCCTAGTTCTGAATTTCAAAAAGGTGCATCAAAACACTTGATTTATCTTTCGTCAAGCTAGAACTGCAAAAAAAAAGAAAACAAAAAATGAGAGAAGTATATAAAACGCACGGTAGGACGAAGGATTTAAAAAAAAAGAAAAAAAAAGGAGGAATATCTGAATAAATGTGTGGATTATAATGCGTAGCATTAGTTAAATCTGTAGGTGATGCTCCCGTGGGGTTCTCTACTTCATAAAGAAGTACTGTAATATACAGGCGAAGACGATGGACAGGCTGGCGAAGCCGAGCACGATGAGGGCGGCGAACTGCTCGTCCGTGGGCACGGTGCCCTTGGGGACATCAGCACTGGCCGGATGGCCCGGGGACTGAGGAGCACTGCGCTGGGGGATGAAGGCCACCGAGGGGCTGAAAGGGCCACTGAGCTCCTGAGAGCTGTCCGAGCAGCGGCGGCAGGCGCACACGCGGAACCGATAGTCCGTGCTGCTCTGCAGCCCCGAGACGTGGAACGAGGTCTCCTCTCCCTTGTACACCTGTGGGGACAAAGCAGGGATGTGGTTAGACACAAACTGCTCCCACCTCCATGGGGACATGGTTAGACACAAAGTGCTCCCACCTCCATCCCGCTGACCTCACCAATTTCTCTTTAAAAAACTGGATTATTATTGCACCCCAACTCATCGCTCACTCCACTGCTGAGATGCTTCACAAACCCYGCAGGGTTGCGAGATAACCTTGTCTCCTCTTCTGAACACAGAAACAACAGTTTGAGATGGTTTGCACTGAAAAACCCCAACCAAAGGAAATGATTTGTTCCATCTCAGGACACAAAATTGGCAGCAGGAGGCGGAGGAAACACTCAATGCAAGTGGCACTGAATACCAACAGGTATGGTACAATTCTGTTGTATTCTGGCACACAACCAGCACAAGACCTATTGGAAATAGAGAAGGAAATTCCTTTTTTTTTGCTAATTACAGCTTTACAGAAATTTTCGCTTCATTAAAGCATTTCAGAGATAGTGTGTCTACAGAATCTAATCCAAAGGAAAAACAGGAATTAAAGTGAGAGCTTGGTAAGGCTGGCTGGGCTCTCCCAGGCACCCAGCCCTCAGTGCAGAGCTGAGAACTGCTGGGGCATTTTCACACACCCAGAGTGTCCTACCCACACTTTTCCTTCTCTCAGGAAGCACTTGGAGAGAGGTTTTTTCCGGGAAGAGATGTGGCAGAAGCTGAGGAAAACACTGTTGCCTCCAAATTCCCAGAAATTGCAAAGGCAGAACATTTTGCCTTAGGCGAGAACTATTTAAGGATGAGGAAGATTTAAAAAGCTCAGCTCCTGTTTGCCATGGTCAGCTCTTAGGAGGAGCTGCCTCCTGGGTGATTCCATCCCAGAGCTGCTCAAATGGGAGAATAAACCTCAGGCTGCTGGGCATTACAGCTGTTATCCCAAACTGCAGCTCCTGTGAGTGCTGCACAGCCCAGCCCACCCCCCAAAATCCAGATTAAAGCCATGCAAACACAGAGACAATTCAACACACTTTGGAGCTAAACTCTGACTGAGCAAGCTTTGCTAGATAAAAGTGCAAGAAACAGAAAAACAAATCCAGGCCACTGATTCCTGGAATATCCTGTGGTTTACATCCTGATTCATAAACAAGGCAGATTTGATTTCCTAAAAAGAATCATCCCATGCTATTGCTTTTTAAAAAAATTATCTGTAAAGATAAAGCACACAAACACACAAAAAGAATGCATTGTGTGAGGAACAAGGAAAGGAGTAGTTAGCAWTTTTTAAAATACACTTTCCAGGGAGCTAAAATGTTATCTTCTTAGCTCCAGCAATCCCAGCTCTTCAGACAATTCTCAGCAGAGAAATATTTACAAAATATTCTCCCAGAGGAGGGCAGGGATGGCTCTAGTCCCAGTGTGAAAAAAAGGGCTTTTGAATACTTTGGTATCACACCTCTGCTAGATCAAATGGTGGAAAATCAGCAGCTTTTGGGCTGTGAAGGGTTGCAAAGACAAGGGTACAGAGGAGGGAGACTGCTCAGGGGTGACAGTCCAGAGAGAAACTACAGCTTTACCTAAAAGCATGACAGCAGCTGATGCTGCATTCCATTAACAGCTTGAAAATCCAAAATCTACAATGTATTTCATTTGTGCAACCCTTCAAAACAATTTGCAAAACGTTCCCAATATAATATGCCCCTTTAGATACATATGCAAAATATGTATGTCACTTGCAGGGAACAAAACAYATTTAAAAATAAATTCGGGACTTGCACTTCAAAAGTAATTAACATATCTTTAACACTAATGAACATATTAGTGACAGTACTTTTCAGTTAAATAGCAGCAGGTGATCACAGGCATGTCAAAGCAGAGGTGAAGGGAAATGTATTAGCCAGAAATGGCTAATGAAAGGTGTTTCTGTATTTTTTCTCCTCTGCACATCACTCAGAGCACACAGGGATGTGCCCCAGTGCYGAGACACCACCCACACTCCTGGTGGAGATAAAACACCCTGAAGGGCAGAGGTGATTCCAGTGAAACAGGGGAATTCTCCCTGTTTTTCATGGCTGGCTATCAGCCAGGGGCCACTCTGAGGAGTGTCTTCAGGGATTTTSTGGAGTCACACTGGTTTTGTGTGACAACTCACACAAAAACCCCTTTCATTTCATGAGAAATGAAAACCTTCAACACAAGAAGACCCTGCAAGTATTTTTTCCTTCCTTCACAGCTGTTTTCTTCACACCCCAAGTTCTGGTCTGCACAAATTAAGCCATCCCTTCTCTCCAAGGAACATGAACCCTGTTCTTCCATGGACACCAGAACATTTTGGGCACTGGGGCTGCATTTACTGAGGCTGTTCCTGAAGGTTGCACACCAAAGCCACTTTGTGCATCAGGCAACAGCAAAATGGGTCCATTAAATAAATACACTTATCCACTTGCCACTGACATTATGAGGCCAACACGGTACACAGGGGTTTTATTACCTACACCAGCACCAAAAATCTTTCCTGACAAAAACAGTAGGGYGGTTTCTGCATCTTTATGACCCCCCATGAACTGTCTTGCAATTTTTTTTGTTGTTTTTCATAATTCATTAGTTCACAGTAACACTCAAAAGCTGACTGAAGAGGAACAAAGACACAATTGCAAAGACTTACACCTTTGTGAGAGTTTAATTAGCATAGCGTAAGAGTTCAATTAGCATATCTCATTCCCTAATTTGGACTTATTTGGAATCTGCATGACAATGAAAGAAAGCACAGGAAAAAGAGAGCRCACAGATGAAGTGCACTGCAAATGACACAGTCAGAAGTGTGATGGAGGAAATAAAAGATYTAACTAACAGAATGAGCTGTTCTGTTTCAGGTGCTCTGGGGAAGTGCCCACTTGTGCTGTCTAATCAGGAGACAAGGAAGGAAGGATCAGCTGTACTTCAGTGCTTTTTTTCCACAGTGACAGGAAGGATACACAGCAGATACATGTGCATCAGAACCTCAGACAGGAATGAGAGATGAACAAACCACTTAAYATGTACTTGACTGAAAACCTTGATGGACAGTCCTGGAATTGCCTTAGAGAGAAAGATTCATCTCCTGACTTCATCTCATCYTCAGATAATGGCTAAGAGCAGCCAGCTCAGAAGCGAGCATGGGTGGACAGAATTGTAACTTTTTAAAGGTTAGTGCAGTTAAAAATAGCAATTAACTACAGAAAGAGCACAAATCACTCCAATAAAATAATGGTGTTCTACATATTCCCCTAGGGGAGAAAACAGCCTATTAGAGCCCTTAATTTTGACTCAGCCTTTACCAAAGTGCACCTGACACATCACCATAGGGTGTAATTCAATACAGCACAAAGCAGCAGCACAGTGGATTTTCAGAACCATTTCCATTATGCCATCAATTTAACAATATTAAATCCAGAACATTTCCTTACCTGCTTGTATTCAGATTCTCTTCCAACCAGTACCTGCAGCACATAACCAACAGGATCTCCCTTCATGGGTGGGACCATTTCCCAGGTAACTTCACAGGAGTTTCCTCCCAGCTGTGTCACTCGAGGGGCTACAATAAAATGAGATGTGTTAATAGYTAATATAAAGACTGCACTGAAGTCTTATTTTATTTTTGAGCACTGTAATTTACACCAGAACATTTTTAAAAAGGGGACAGGTTGGAGCACCTCTTACCTGTCAGCTGAGTGAGCTGCTAGAAAGGGGGAGTGGATTTAGAGAAAACTTTGAGCTTTTAAAACTCAATTGCAATGCTGTGCACTGATCTCTTCAAAGCAGAAGCCAATGCACCAATTAMACAGGAATTCATAAAAGCAGCAGTTCTGTGAAATCCTGAGCAAACACCTGTGCCAGTGGAGCACATTCCTCCCATGCTCCATGTCATTGAAAGAGAGGAATAGTATCAAACATTTCATTCAGGAAAAACAGAAGGAATGTAAGAAGAGAAGCTAAAGAATCTCCTGTACTAGAGATCAAGTCCAGGCTGGGAAGCAAAAGGACAAGCATAGTTTTCAAAACTTGGATTTGTATCTAACTCTGAGCCTGGCATCCACTTGATCAGACCTGCTATTTCTAGCCAGACTCAGATTAGTGCTCTCACTAGAACTGCAGAGAAATTCAATTTGTCAGCTGTTACAAGGCTGCTGCCCTCGGTAGAGGCTCTGCTACCTGCTGAAAGCCAAGGGATGCTGTGCCTTGACCCACGGCAATCTCACAGGGAAGCTGAGCAGAGCACAGACAGGGGCAGCACATTTTTATTTACAACAAAGCATCTGCCAGCAGCAGGCATGAATAAAACTGCA